GTTGAAAATCAAACAGATGCTACATACATTACTATGCCAGATGAATGTTCTTGTTTGTACTTTCTCCATTAGGTTTTTAAGAATTTTAAGTTTTGTGCAACATGTTTTGTCCGTATAGACTCCCCCAACTCTTACCAGATCCCTCCCAATATCCCTATCTACTCTACTTTGTAAAAGCAAACAAAGATAAAAAAAAAAAACCTGAGGACCAGTTCATGCTCCCTTAAATATTCTTGAAATGTGGTCTTCCATTGGAATTTGGTTCATTTTCTAAGAGTTACACAGTTGGAAAAATACTGACCCTTTCTTTCTGAGAAATCATTGTCAACTACTTCATGGCTAGAGCTAAGATCGTGTGCCTGGTCTGGCTTGTGCTTGTATAGGTATTTTACGTGCTGTCCCAACTACTGTGGATGCTTATATGTAGCTGCACTGCTGTGATCAAAGGATCTTTCCTTATAGTCATCCTGTGCTTGCTGAACCATTATGGCAATGATTACTGAGCTCCTGAGGATGGTGGTTTGTATATTCCCTTAGGGCTTAGAATTCTTCATTCTTTTATTCTCTGCAACTTGGTTTCTTGTGGATCTCTGTGTTAAACACTATCTCCCATAATTCAAAGCATCTCAAATGAAGAGTCAAGAGACATTGATCTATGGGTATAATAATTTGTCATTAGGAGTTGATTTACTATTACATCCATTTAGCAGCATAATAGTGTTAAGTTCTTTCTAAGCCCTGTACCTTATCCAGTCATAGAATCTTGGCCTCATAATGATGAAATTCATGGGTTTAATCTTGTGCCACCACAATCAGAAAGTGGTTATTTGCTTTTATTATTCCATTTCTATTGTTTCCATTATTGCACTGGGCATATCTTTCCAGTATCTCACAAATGTTCACAACTGTATATGAGTGATTACTTTCTGCTCTGGTAACATGCATAGCACCTTATAGCACTATAAAAGCAAGTCCTAGGGACGGAGTTAGCATTCTGTGTGTTAAATGTCATATATAAACTGTATTTGGGAGCAATAATATATTTCTCTTCATTTACGTTCATAAATATTCAAAAATTATTATACATGTAAGTTGTGATTTGCAATTAGATTTTTGTTTGAGACAGGATCCTCCTTGGTAACTTAAACCCATAACCACAAACCCATGATTTTCTTGTCTTAGATGCGGGCTATTTCTATGGAACACTATAGTGAATATACATATATATATATATATATATATATATATATATATATATATATATATATGTGTGTGTGTGTGTGTGTATGACTATATATAGTTACATATAATATGCATGCACAATATATATTATATATGAAATATATATATTGAAATATATATATATATATCAGCATTCTAAATAAACCATAACAAAGTTTGAACATCTAATGCAAGTTGATTCTTTTAATATATATTATGTATATATACATATATACATATGTGTGTCATATATATTATTTCTATGTGTTTAGGTTTAGGTATGTGTGTGGAGATGGGTGGGAAGAAAAAGAAAGCTAGGGTGAGAGAGAGAGAGAGAGAGAGAGAGAGAGAGAGAGAGTCATTCTGTAAACTAGACCAACCTGGATGTCACCTCTAAACTCTCCAACCTAATCCATACCACTACCCAACTAAGGAGGAAGAAGGGTTAGGCTCTAAACATGATGTCAGTTGCATCTCCTACAGACTCCAGAACTACTACAAACAGCAATAGCAACTGGGGCCAAGTAACCAAGTACATAAACCTAAGGGTAAAGGGCATTTCCAATACTGTCACAGTGTTTTCCCCACTGTCTCTAAACACAGAAAACAGTGTATTTCTTCTACTTTTGGCGATCACCTCATATCTCTTAGGATGCCTCTTCAGTTAAACAGTTTTCATGCTATTATTTTTTTTTCTTTTAAACACTGCCTGGCCCATTAGTTCCAGCCTCTTATTGGCTAGCTCTTACATATTGATATTGATCTAACCCATTTCTAGTATTCTGTGTAGCACCACGAGCTGGCTTACCAGGAAAGATCTTAACTTGCCTCTGTCTGGAGTGGGAGAATCATGGCGACTCCCTGACTCAGCTTCTTTTTCCCAGCATTCTGTTCTTTCTATGCCGCCTACCTAATTTTCTGTCCTATCAGGCCAAGCAGTTTTCTTTATTAGTTAACCAATGAAAGCAACAGATACGATACAAGACCCACCTCCATCATTTCCCCTTTTTCTGTTTAAACAAAAAAGAAAGGCTTTAACTTTAACATAGTAAAATTACATATAACAAAACAGTTATCAAGTAAGAATTACAGTTACAATAATTATATCTACTTTATCTTTTATTATAACTAAGGAAAACTAACTATAACTAACCATTCTTCAACTCCATCAAAGACTCCAGAAGGATATAATATTACCTAAGCAAACAAGAAATAAGAAAACTCTAGAAATGACAGAGACATCTCGCTGCCTGGACAGTCACCCAAAGTTCCTCTGTACTGTTGGGGCATCCATCTTCAGCCTACATAGTTTCCAGCAGACATTTCCATGAAGCAGGAAATTCCAAAGACAGTTCAGCCATTATCTGCTATGTCCTGCAGAATGTCTTGCAGACTCCTTCATGAGTCAGGAATCCCAAAAGACCATCTCACCTTTAAGCAAGTTCAGCAGTACTCTCTTTGTGGGGTCTTTGTGTCCAGTTTATTCAATAGTCCAGGCAAGTGCAGTTTCTTGCCCAAATGGCTAACCAACTCCATAAGGAGCCTCTTCAATGCCCATCTTCCTCTCAAAGTAGATTGGTGCTGCCAGGAGTAGAAGTGTCTCATTGTCATGAAAAGCCTTAAGTCATTAAAACATTTAAACTGCCATATTCTGTAGTCTTTGAAAGATATGAAGAATGCGTGTCTGAAATATATCCATGCACATCTAGAAAATCTAACTAACATGACTACAAGCTTGACTATCATCGATGACATGCTATTATTTTATAAGGAATGGTACAACCCCCTTTAAAGTCAATTTTAATTATTCTGCATTCCAACTTTCAATTGAAGATGTCATAATATATATTCTATCTCACAAAAATTGTTCATGACATTTATTTATATGTTATATTTAATTGATACTTATGTTTAAATTACTCAATAATCATTATTATATGAGTTGAGCTATTGGCATCAAGGAACATTATGGCCTCATAACCCTATTTGTTGGTGGTGATTCAAAACCCTTAGTTAGAGAGATTTTTTTTATCAAGTATTTTGTGTACCAGGTACATGAAGCATATATTCCATGAACTACAATTTGTTATATCAAATAACGGGCTTATATTCTACAAACTGTTGTTTTGGGGATGTGGATACTTCAAGAGAGATACTTCAGGCCCATTATTATTTTTCTTCTTTTTAGTGGAATTTCAAACAGCATTCTAGAAACCTATCATAAATTTCAGCATTGGGGAATTATAACTGTAAGAAACTTTAAAGAACTCCTTGAATAAGATTTGCCAATGCTTAATTTAGTTCACAAATAGAAAAAAATGCCTGCCAGAAACACTGCTGCTATCTATTTCCTTTGTCACTCTTCTCTCCCCATGTTTCCAAAACTGATCCGTTCCCCATCTCTGCACTGTGCTCTTCTTTGCATTCCCAAGCAAATGCAGACAGGTACTTAAATAGATAATTGTTTGTATGTGAAAGAAAGAGATTAAAATGTTACCCACTCCTCTCTAAATGATGACTGCTGTAGGAAATTCTACAAGCTAGTATCCTTTAAGCTACCTGCCCACTTGGGCATGGCCTCTTATACTATAAATGCAGATGTAAGCTGTGGTTGCCCTCTCTTCCAGCTGCTGGATTTGGTTTCTGTTCCCCATTAGTGCACAGGACTGTGATCTGTGAGTCTACCCCTAAATGAATAGGCCTTTATTATACTCAATTCTGAGCTAGTATGGCATTTCCTTTTAGTGTCCATCTTCAGATATATATTAAGTATAATTTTGACCATTGAATTTGTTTTATTCATTGCATATGTATATTGTACAAAAGCAAATATCTAATATCTTATTGTTGCATACAACTTCCAGGAATACTGTAGTATGTGATATCATCCTTGCAAGATAAAATAAGTAATCCAAAGTACACTGCTTCAAAATGAAAAAAAAAATAGAACAGCCCAGAATTACTTTAATTTCCGGCTTATGTGAATACACGGATTTTGATAATGATATCTGAACTGTTTTTCCTCTACATTTTGCTTGGTTCTTTCTTCTCTGGGCTGTGATTTGCCTCAATTCTCAGAATACTTTTTATTTATGTGGCAGCCAAAGAATCTTGAATGCCCTGAGGTTAAAGAGTAAAGTTAGAGAAACTCAATAATCACAGAAATCATGCTCATACTGCTCATTTGAGGCTTGATTACATGTCCATCTATTCACTTCCATGGACATCAAGTAATAGAGTTTTCTATTGGATTCTACTTAGGCAAAAGCTTCAGCCCCGAGGCTGGTACAAGTAGTTCTACCTAAATTACATTGAACAAATATGAGGGACAAGGCAGGCACTTTTTTTCTCTTCAAAAACTGATTTGACAAATAAAACCAGAGGAAAAAAATAATGACTCCTTTGAAACAGCAGGGCCTGATGTAGAGTTCCTGTGGTTCCAAGTACCTAAGCATCTGAAGTAAGAGCATAGCAGATTCAGGGCCAGTTTGTAGAAAATCCTGTCTCAGAATAAAATAAAAAGGATTATAAAAGAAGTTCAATGGTAACACATTGGCCTAGTACACAGAGAGTAATGGGTCTAATATTCCATAGTGCAGAAAAAAGTTTGTTTAGGAGGTATTTGTAGTAATATGCTAAATTTGGAGAATTACAATATTCTTCACATAGAAGTAAACATGTGATAATTGTAGCTATTATTGTCAGGTCACCAATATTGTCAAAGCTAAATATCTTACAGAGATGCTGTCCCCTTTTTACTTCCACAAATATTCTCTTTGAGCTTGAAGATGACATCTGCCTGAACAGTTACCACAGTTGTCCAGTCCTGCATTCAGAAAGCAATACAAGGTAATCAAAGTATATTTGTTCAATTAATGAAAGAGCTCAATTATATAATGCACATTCCATCAGTGTATGAATTTTGCAAACACCTCTCCATTCCTATATTAACATACACTCTGTGGTCTCTGTTGAATCAAGTAAAATTTAGAAGTGGGTGAATGTCAAGCACTGATGACCTCCTTTGAAATCTAGCCACACTCTATTTTATAAAATGTTAGTAAGTTATTGGTCCAAGGTAAACTGATGAAGCAACAGAAAATAGCATGAGTTCTTCATATAAATATTTCATTTTCTTTACTGTAAAAAATGGGCCAGAATGGTTGAAATGTATTCAGAAATTCTGTGCCTCTAATGTAGGCTAAAATACCAGTAAAAGTCAGAACTATTGCTTCTAAAGTTTTTATCATGTGAATTCACGAATTCACAGTATTTGTTAAATATTAGACTAGATGTTAACTTGCTATTCAAAGTTTGCAGTATTTTCTAGGATCCTTTGCTCTTTGTTAGAATTGGCATATGTCCAAGATAATAGCACACAGTTTCATAAGTCACTGCTAAGTTTGTTGATAGCATGAAGATAAGAAAAAGAAAAACAATCAGTTTTCTTAGGCTCCAATGTCAAAGAAATGCCATGTTTTTGTATAATTTCAAATTTACATATATGCAATTTAATGTGATTTTAGGATTGACTAAAACACTTTAGGGAAAGATACATATTAATATTCTACAGTAAAATTATAGATTCCAGTTCTTCAAGAGTGTAGATTAAAAACATTTCCCTAAATACCCACAAATGTTATAACTGAAGTGAAATTTTAAAAAGTAACATGTCAATTCAGACATTTAAGGGTTAACTTCAATCTGTTTCAGATTTTACTTAAAATATTTATTCACATTTTTGATATAGAACTGAAGACAGAAACTTAGTTAGGAACAAAATAGCCATCGAATATTAATAATGAAAAGAAGGTTTGATGTTCAACTAGAGAGCCAACAGAGTAAGCATAGTTTAGTGTTATAGGTTCGATTGTTTGGGAAGAAGTTGGTTCAAATATTTACATGAGAAGGATACAAATGCAGGAAATGAAACTGGAGATGTTCACATTGTCAATCTTTCTCTAGAAATAGTAGGACAGACAAAGGAATTCTGGGGGTCACTCTACAGTCACATAGGAACTTCTGGAGTTAGGATGGCAGTAAAGAATTGGCCTGAAACAAGGCAATTAGTGTCTGCATAGAGTACTGTGTTATTTTCAGCCCTAGAACATATGATGTTACTGTACAAAGGTCTTTTGGGTTCAGTGACTTCCTTCAACTGAGCACCAATATTCAAATAGGGGATAAGGATAGAAAGGTCAACTTGCAGTTTACTCAGCAATTGTGTTGGTGTTAGGGGAATAGAACTGTAGGGCTGTTGTTAAAAAAAAAAAGTCTTCAATGCTGGAAATGCTGAGTTTGATTTAATTGGATTCAAACTTTATTACTCTGGCAAACACTTATTATCTGTAGAGCAGTGACAATTAAGAAATTAAAAATATTGTCTTTCATTTTTGTTTGTTTTGAATATATATATATGTGTGTTTGTATGCATATCACTATATGTATGTCTGCCTGCGTTCTTGTACATGTATGTGCTTGCATGTAGAGGTCAGAGACTGATGTCAGGTTTCTTCTTTATTCTTCTTCCACCATAGATATAATCAGGAAGGTCTCTCGCTTGAACCCAGTGTTCACTTGAAACTAGTTGCCAATATTACAAGGTTAGCTAGTTAGGTTGCTAAGTGACCATCTCCACTACTTGAACATTTGGGTTACAGGTGGAGGTCAATCACTTGCTTTTAATCATGTTGTGTTCAGATCCACTTCTCACACTTGCATGGTAAGCTCTTTACCAAGAGAACCATCTCTCCATTGCCTAAATTGCTAATTATTAAAATAAGAATAAATATGAACCAAACAAACTTCATACCATTTACTTTAAAAAATTAAGTCACAAAAATTCATTTAAAATATTAGAGAAAAAAAAGAAAATTCATTTATTCTCCCTTTCTGAGTTCCAGCAGAGGGAGGATGATGGAGTTTCTGCAGCTATTTTTCTGATCAGCAAAATATGGCATCTTCTGCTTCTACTTCTCCGGCATGCACAGCTCAAGGCGAGCTTCTGTTTGCATGTTTGTAATGCACTAATGGATACAAGAGGGAGGAAATGACAACCCATGCAAATATAAAAGAACACATTTTAGCTAAAAATATTCAAGGCTTCCAGTAATCTAAAACAAATAGCACAGAACTACACAGGGGATCATTTAAAGGTCAATTTTCAGTAGCATGTGCTGTTAAATCCGGCCATGTAAACATAATGTTCGTATCCTTATTAAGCTAGGACAGTTTCAACATGAGGCATGAACCTATTAGATTGGCCTGTAGTACATTATCGTTAAAAAAAAAAAGTCATGCTCTTTCCTTCTGAGTGAATTAGTAAATTGCTGCTGACACACTTCCCCATCTATTCACAAGGCAGTGCAGATTGCTATTGTTTTCCTAAGGATTATATCCAGTATGTTGGCCTGGGTGTAGCAAATCTGAGCTAGGAATGAAATTATTCCAATCATTCATCAGACTGTCTTCTTGGACTTTTCTTTGACTCTTTCACTAAAAATAAAGAAATTGTTAGCATTTCCATCCAGGTATTATTAAACCTTAGAAACTAGGAAGTTAGATCAGAAACATATCGTAGCTTTTTAACTGAACACAGTACATTTTTAGTAGAGAACGCATTACAATGCATGAAGCATGTATATGTTTTTTAATGTGCAGTTTAGCATAGACACTTGCACCTGTGGTCTACAGCTTACAAACATGGTTTCTGTGTTTCAGTTACAATTGTAATATGAAAAAAATCCTAACCTGAAAGCAACACTTTTCAACCATATTTGTAAAATGTATGATTTCAAGTTATGTGGTAACACTAAGTCACATCCAAGCTCTGAATATTGTGGATGTGTCCATTTTAAGGGTTTATAGACAGAATTTACACCATCCTAGCAGATTTCCATAAAAAAAGCAATTTTACCTGCAAGAGAAAGACACGTGAAGTTATTTTCTATTAAATAACATTTCCCAGATTCTCCATGCCTGCCAAATGCCTATCATGAGCTTAAATTATTTGAAATTAACTTAAATGATTCTTCTTGTTGAGTGGAAATTTCATTACTGATATTTCCCTGGCTGAAGGAGAAGAAACAGTAAAAATTGGAATGCATTGATTTGCAATATTTATTTTCATTTTAATACCAATGGTTGAAAAATGGTCTAGATGCCTATTAAGGAGAAAGCACAGCCTGCAAGACAATGGGTGGTAAATGCTCTGCAAGCAGAAAGTGCCTTTGAACAGCTGCAGAGGAAAATAACCCAGTGGGATTGAAAGGAAGAAGGTTTGAGGAGACAATGCTGGAGGATGATACAGGAATTCCATAGGCACATGTACTCTCACATGGAAGGAGGTATAGTTTTAAGTTCATACAGATGACATGATACAGTAGTAAGAAGTGAAGCATGTGTGGAGGAAGTTCATATTTTGAACTTTATTATACTATGATAACTTTAGTCTTATGAACCTGTAATTATTTCCATTCATAGAACTAAAATTGCTAATCACTATTTTTTAGAAAGTTAAACTCAATTGAGCATTATCAGTTCATGAGATCCAAACTGAGAAGTGTATTTAACAATTACATCACTTTTATTTTTTTATTCTCTATCTTCCCCCATTTTAGTAGGTAAGTATCATTTGATGAATTTCTTCATCATTTAGGTTTATTTAAATAAGTGTGCATATATAATATATTTATATATTTTATCATTTGCTTGCCCTTTAGGCATTGATTTGTAATTTTTCTGTATTCTACATAAAGTTTGTCACCAAATACACATACTATATGTAATTTCTTCCTACTTTAATTTTCCATTTCTAATGGTATTATACATATGAATTTTTTATTATAATCTATCATTATTTTCTTCTTCATTATTTTTCTGACAATTTTCCTGAGCACAGGTAGGCCATGGTCTATTTAAATAGTTAAAGATGTCCTTGTATATCAGAACACATTCTAAGAATTCTGAGCATTTGTGAGAAAACTCGAGGAGACCAAGACAAGAGTTTGCCACCTCTGGTTCTTCAAAAACATAAAATTGTCCATGGAATGTTTCTTCATGGTCTTCCCAGATATACCTGGTAGGAATGTATTTGTTTCAGATTATTCTTTACAACCAGTTACTTTTATACCTCTACATGCCTCTGCGGAAAAACCTGTTTTGCCACATGTGGCTCCACTAACAAGCATGTTTTGCCATTGTTATTGGACACATTCCTCATGTGACTCATAACCTTCATAGTATAAGTTGTTTGATTCTCTGAATAAAGATGACTATTGAATGAGACTTTAGTCTGTCTGATTTATTGACTCCACTTTCCCAGGTTTCATGACCTCCATAGGAATCACTTAACTTCTCTGCCTTCCTGTAAGAGGAAAGAGCAGAACATTTACTAATAATGTGTACAGACCTATCCACACTTAGTTATGGAGCACTGAGGATTGAACATTAGACATCTTGCATGATAGGCAAGGATTAATCAACTGATCTATATCCCTAGCTACATATTTTCTTAGAAATTATTGTTTAATTGTCTCAGATTGGAAATATATCATGGTGTTTGCTTACAGAATCTTAGTTAGATCTATAATCTATATATCTTTGCATTTATTTAAAGAATTGAGATTGATGTTTTTCCTTTCATTGTTTCAGAAACATTTGCTGTAGAACCTTTCTTTCTGCCTTTTTTTTAAGGAGGCTACAGCATGGACAGTTTTCATGATTTTATTTCTCTGACACCAAGGCCAGGCTTCTGTCATCATATTTATCTCATGGCTTGGGTCACATGGTCTAATATTTCAAAATTAAACTTCTTTTTTCCTAGACGTAAATGTTCTAAAGCACTGGTTATAAACCTGTGGGTCTCAGCCCTTTAGTGAGACTGAAGTACCCTCCCAGGAGTCACATATCAGATATCCTGCATATTAGATATTCACATTATATTCACAACAGTAGCAAAATCTTTATGGTTATAGGTCACACAACATGAATAACTGCATTGAAGGATCACATATCTAGAAAGGTGGAGAACCACTGTTTTAATGCATTAGGTTTTATATAAACTCCAATACATACTTAGTTTCTATACAAATTCGACAGAATTTAATTAATGTGTTTTGAAACTCATGAACGTGTCAGTAGTTCATATCTCATTAGTGCGGAATCCTCTAGTCCATGGAATTGCTATTCTATTAAATACTTTTGGTCTTTATTCTTGTAGCATTGATTTTAGTTTACAGTATGAGAGTGCTGTGCATATTTTCTTGCAATTATCCCAAGACATTTAATATTTATAATACCATAATAAATGTAATTATTTCCTTAATTGTAAATTTGTTTTTCTACTGTAAGTCTATAGGAAGATAATTGAATTTTGAAAACTTGATTTTGTATCCTTTGAACTCATTAACTTCCTTTATTAGTTCCAGTAATTTGTTCTGAGGCTTTCTACAAAAATGTTTCATTTGGGAATACTCTTCCTTTGTACATGCTAGTGACCATGCCTACCATTTGGTTTTCTTTTCTTACAGTACATGATGTTGGGATTTCAGGACAAATATCTTTTCCTGAACCTTATTACACTGTTAGCACTATTGCTGGTGGAAACAATTAGTATCTTTTCTGTATTAATTTAAAGAAGTTCTTTAGTTTATGTTGACTTTTAAAAATCATTGTGGAGATACTATCAAATACATTTTCAAAATTCTGTGCATTAATCACAGGAATTTTTTTTATTCTTAATGTGGTGAAAAATATCCCCAAAATTTTGAGCAGAATAATGTTGCTTGGCAAGAATAAACCCCATTTATTCATGAGGCATTACTTTTTCCGTGTATCAGTATAATATGTTAATATTATGTATTATATTATGTATATTATGTATATTATGTATTATATATTATGTATAATATGTGTTAATATTTATCAGAAAATCACTTGAAATTTCCTAAAAGAAAAATAAAGTCTTTATTAACTTCTGCCATTAAATTTATTGTTGGTTCATAAGAATGGCTGAAGATGTTAATCCTTTCTTGTTTTCCTAGAGACTTTTATTATAGTGGTGTGGTTTCATTGATTAATGGATTTAGGCAATGTTCTATGTGGAACTAGTATTCTCTTTACAGGCACACTCATGTGACTTATTAAGTTAGTTTTAGTCAAAGAGATATTTGAATTTTCTATAATTTTGCCTAGTAAGTTTGGCAGAGTTTTTCAAAGTTTCTAAACTTGTGACTGTAATAAAATAAGAATATGTGTTTGTTTTGTATGGGTTTGCTATAATATTCCGCAAGTTTTTAATATTTTATTTAAAGCTTTTTTTTCTTATTTTTCTCTAAAAGACTCTCCTAAAGACTTCTCACATTGATGATCCTTTAAAAAATCAACTTTTAATTTTGTTATGCATTGGTACAAAATAAATTACAGTGTTGGAGGATAAAATTTAAGTCATTATAGATGGGGTGAACTCATCATTTTTGATCAAAATAAGAACTATTTTCAAAAAAATCATATTTTTTTTGTCAAAGAGAAATGAGTTTGTTTATTCTTATCACATCTAAGTACTGGTTTTGAGTTTCAGAGGACTTTAAGAAAGCATTCATTGCAACTGCTATCTGTGGAAGCATTTTTATGTTGAAAACAGTGTTGCAATGCTTGAAGAAGTGCAATCACTTGGAGAGAAAGTGGGTAATAAGGTGGGCAAGGCAAACTTCATAGCCCAGTACGTTCAACTGTTTCCGTCTTGGTTGTGCCAGAAGAGGTCTGGTATTGGCATGGAGAATTGTGCCTTTCCTTTGCATGAAATGTCATCTCAGTTTCCTTGGTATCTGATGCATTTGCTGAGGATACTTCTCCTATGGTTTCTTTGGCATTCAGAAACTACTGGTGGGCAAGATTAGTATCAGACACCAGTCAGGAACCATGATTGCTTTTTGGTCCAAGTGGGGAATTGCGAAGTCCTGTGGAGCTTCTCTCTCAAATCTGTCAAACCACTGAGCTGAAATGATCATTGCTGACTTGTTGCATACAGTGCACATAAATCATCACACTTAATAGTCTAATGTTACAGTGCACATAAATCATCACACTTAATAGTCTAATGTTAAAAGGGTTTGTGTTTGCTTAGCCCACAAGGCACCCTCCACACTGATTAAGCTTTTTCTGTTTTCTAGGTTGACTCAACTGTAATTGGCCATTCAGAGTTCTGTGATGAAGGTTTTGGTTTGTTTATTTGTTTGTTTCTCTCTCTCTCTCTTTTTTTTTTTGTAGCATTTTGTGTCCTGAAGAGGATCTGCTTCAATCATTGCTTCAAGTCAGTCATTGTCAACATCCGATGGCCAGTCTCTTTAGTTCTCATATCCAAGGCTTCTTATCTTTTGGAAAACAAGAATTATTATTGTACTGTATATTAAGTATCAGTTCCTGAACCTAAAGTGTTGAGGGTGCTGTGCATTTTATCATCAACATATTTTGAACTGTAATAAGAAAATTGAGATCACAACTTTTGATGGTTCAGTAAATATAGACACTTGCTTGATATAAATTACTGATAATCGAGTTTATTCCCAACACCTACATGACAGTGGGAGGGAAGTGATTCCTGAGTTGTTCTATGACATACATATTTGTGGCTTAATAAATAGTCATGCACACAAACACATATACAGTGAGTTTATAAATGTAATTAATAGATTAAATAATCCATAACAAGTACATTTATTAAGAGTGCATTACGCTATCAAACAACAAGTTTCAGCAATGCAAAACTACAATTACTTTTGCACTGACCTAATAAGTTAATTCCGTGCTTAATATTTTACTTTGGCTTTGTCATTTTAATATTTCCTTCCTTTTATTTACTTTGAATTTAATGTCCTTATATTTTTTCTAGAATTTTGTAGAAACCTAAATAGATACTGACTCTTCTCATTAATTTTTGATAAGATCACTTAAGCTATTCAGAACTCTAGAATTTAGCCCTTTATGGTCTGATGCAAACCACAGCATGTTTTATTAACATTGTCAATCTACACAAATAAGATTTTGCTTTTTTTTCAGTCTTATATCTTGGCCCATAAGTTTTTTAATAATCAAATAATGACTTTTCAAATATTGAGATATTCTAGTTAGGTTCTTTTGTGTAAGTTAACTTGATATGAAATGCTTTAATTCTTTGAAATTCAACTTTGATTTACCTTGTCATCCCTTATGGGATCTATCTGAGTCATTTTCCAAATTGATGGGAAATATATTTGTGTTGTTAGTTTTCAGATCTTCTCCGTTCTTCATATTTTTTCTAATGTATGGCTTCATATTTTTTCTTTGTAGGCTGACTGTTAAAATAGCCACTCACAGTATGTGGGTTTGCCAGTCATTTTATTTCTACTTGCTCTGTGTGTGAATTTGTCTATGTCTATTTTTGCCTGCATTTTCATCACATATTTTGACATCCTGTCATTAAGTACTAAAATATTATTATGTCTCACTGATGAATTGACCCTCTCATCATTATAATATGTCTTCATTTCTCTCTGATAATAGTCCTACTCTCAAAAATCTTATACAGGGAATTGTATGGCTATAGAAGCTTCCTTATACTTTAGGGCTTGATGCTGTGTTGTTTTCTACTTTACTGCTCTTGACATCTTTGTGCTTATTGTTTACACGACTTGTAGAAAGTAGATAATTAAGGTGCTGTATTGTGTTTTACTTGCCTCACAATCTCTGCCTTTTGATTTCACTTTTTTGTTTATTTACATAAAATATAATCATTATATTATTGTGTTTTATTCTGTAATCATTCTTTGTACTTTAACTTTCTCCTGGCTTCCCCACCTCTACTCCCAAATGCTCCTGTTTCTCTTTTCCTACTTCCTTTTAGATAGATTCTTCAACCTTTTCCTGGTACTTGGTATAACTTTTTTCTTATTTTTCATTTTCAACTTTATTATTTTTCAATTACAGAGGTTTTTAAATTTTAATTTTTTCTTTATTTGTGTTTGGGTGCTTATATGTTTGTAAGCAAACATATATAGAGTTGCATGGTGATAACTGGAAGAGAATGTCCAATTCCCTAGAGCTAACTAAGGACTATGAAGTCAATCTTTAAATATAATTTTGTTTTCTTTCTTGTGTTTTCTTTTCAAATACGAGATACAGAGTAAATGTACATTTAATATGCTCTTAGTTATCTAACATTCTTCATTTCTTTTCTTCAATTTTTTACATAATATTTAGATAATTTATATAATTCTATGCATAAGTTACAATTAATGGTTTTTGATGAGTCATATTTTAAATGTAAAATTTATCTAGTGAGTTATAATGTGTTAAATCTTTCAAGGTTTTCTAAAATAAGAAATTAAACTAGCAAGATATCTTTATTACTGAAAATGTGCAGTTCCAAAAATAATCTATTTTTTGCTTAAGGTATCATTGTTAAAATCATGAGTGATATTATCAAATCTATAAATTCATGCTGAATAAGTACATGAATATATACAGAGGGTAGCTGACTAATTAATTTTTTATGTTTACAACTGTCTCTTTCTCAGTGAAGCTACAGAGCAAATCCCTCCTCTCCATTCAGTACACTAGTGGAGCATTAAGGAGGCACAAGTCCCTCTAGAGATGATGAAACGTTTAACAATTGACATTTTACAAAATAGTAAGGAAGCAAATCAAATTAATAGCAATGATAAATGATGAAAAGAAGCAAGATATTAAATAAAACCATATGCATGCAGAAGAAATGTAACTAAGATAAATCATCCAGTAAATAAAAGAAAAACGTATAAATGCAATGAGTAAATATATATTACAGTGGATGAAAAATTTACTTATTCTTGTTTCATAAGCAATTAGTTTTGGAATGTGTAATTACAGCTGCTTAATTTTATGAGAATATTATTGTACGTTAGTGTTATATTAGAATCTTTCACAGCTCATGTTTTCAGTTTTAAGAATAGTCTACCTTGAAACATTATTTGCCAATTTATCTTCTGATGGTACTCAAATTACTTTATATTGATGTTATATGCATTTTTATAAAAATGTGCATGTCTCTTGGTGCACACTTCTCTTGGTGCACAAATGCGTACATCTCAACTCTGCTTTGAAATTAAGAAAGATGAGCAATATGAAGGTTCTGCTGCTCAAGTCTGTTGCCATTTTATTCATTTTTTTTGTTATTTATGTTTTTTAATGTATTATCTATTTTTATTTTTAAAGCAAATTTTAATTTTAAATATATTTTTATCACATTATTTTCCTCCCTCTAGTCTGCTCATATTGTCTGCCCCTCTCTGCCAACACAACTATAAGTTCTTTCCCTAAAATCCATGTAACAACAAAATTTCTCCAAAGAAAGAAAATAAAAACAAAGCTTCACTCAAAAAGAAAGAAAGGGGGAGGAAAGAAGGAAGAAAGGAAGGCAAACAAAACTGTAACCATAAACATAAAAAAAAAAGAATCTCTACAGACTGTCAGGACAAGACTTTTTGTCAGATACATGTCAATATTTTCTCAAACATTCTAAATAGTTTTGATATCCTTGGTAGCCAATCATCCCTTAATCACACGATTCTGTGTATCATATCACTAATATACTCCTGCAAAAGTCAATTTTTAATATTTTCTCCAGTTTTCCTATTTTTTCCATCAAAGTTAGACCAAAGTGTCTGCCTGGGTACAATAACTTTATGCATTCTTAAGTATAATTCCATAGTCTGCATGTATTCTTTGTCATCCTAATATTTAATTTATTTCATAGCATGGGATTTCTAGATTTCCAACATGATATCTGATCTTTATTGCCCATAAGATGAGGGATTGTGACTTTTAAGAAGAAAAATGACATAAAAAGGGAAGCTGCATCAATGAGATTAAGAAAAAAATTAATGAGGTGAATAACAAAACATGAGATCATATTAGCTCAATCATTTACGTACGTGTAGCATCACTTATTAATAAACAGTTAATTTTAAAATATAACATTTAATCACATCTGATGCACCTTATCATGAAATTGTTCAATGTATTTTATGGTTGTGTACACTTCACAGACTTATTTTCTTCCTATTTCAGGACTGCCTTTTTCTCTAAAGACATATAGGTTTTATGAGCTGCAATCTCTTGCTGACTATTTTCTGTCCCTGTTGATTCCTTCACAGCTGTCAATAAGTACTACTTGAAAAGTTCTGATAAATTTCCTTTACTGTAAATCTCAAGGCTAATGTTTCAAAAAAGTCCCATTCTTGGTTAAACAGTATAAAGGCAACAGTTACAAAGCACAAGATAAAAGCTAACAAGGACTTGTTGAAGTGCACTTTGCTGGATCTTCCTAATTGCTAGGAGCGCTCAGTAGACCAGAAGGGAACATTTGAAAGGAAGTCTGGCTGCAATTCAGTCAAAACCTGAAACAGTTTCTTGAGTTAAGCCTCTGTTGCTTAGAGATTAAGATCAACATAAGTTTTAGAGAACTAAATCTTATGAAGACTATGGCACATAGTGTCAAACAATTGTTAAATTGGTGAGGACTCATCATTTATAAGTGACTAAAATATGTCACAAGGTCATTTCTTTTTTTCACTTTCATTTTTATTGATTTTTATTGAGCTCTACATTTTTCTCTGCTCCCCTCCCTGCCTCTCCCCTTCCCTTCAGAGCTCCCCCAAGGTCTCCATGCTCCCAATTTACTCAGGAGATCTGGTTTCTCTTCAGGTTACATAAATCTTTTGCCTTTTTCAAGGTCATTCCTCAAAACACCTTTGTCACATCATCATCATCCAATTGTTTTCGAAATTGTTATGAATGTTGTTTACCAAAAGAATGCTTGCTAATGTTCATATATTCCTCCACAAATAAAAGACTCACCAGAGGAAGCCAAGTCCTACAGGGTGTTGAGCAGATATTAAACATTGTTTAAAAAATACTATTAAATTAGTTGTTAGTTTGAATATGTTTTTATTAGATCTCTCAACACCCCTGATGATTGATATATATATATATATATATATATATATATATATATATATATATATTGGTTTTTTGAGACAGGGTTTTTTTGTAGCTTTGGTGCCTGTCCCAGCACTAGCTCTTGTAGACCAGGCTGGCCTCGAACTCTCAGCGATCCGCCTGCCTCTGCTTCCCGAGTGCTGGGATTAAAGGTATGCACTAAGTAAGTGAAGATGCTGAGAGATGAGATGATTTGACTCCCAAAT